ATTAAACCAATTTTATAATTATGATTAAATGGAAAAAATAATATGATATCCATATTAGATTCTGATCCTATCACACCCTCTAACTCGTTAGTTATAAAAAAAAAATACATATACATTATAAGTCACTTCTCTAACTTTACTATTTTGAGAGAAAAAAAAACCACTTTTAAATATGAATAAAATCTATTAAAAATTACACAGTTGGGAAATCTCATGTTTATTAAATCAATTTCATCCATAATTTTATGACTTTTAACAAAAATTAACAAACATTTTGCACTAGAAACGCTTAAAAATAATTATTTGCTTTATAAATTTTTTTTAAAATAAATCAAATAAAAACATGTACAGATAACAATCAAATATTAGAAAATACACAAATGCAAAGATTATAAACATATTGTTCAAGTCAATGGCCATTTTATATTTTCAGTTAACAAATAAGAATTACTAACAAGTCCTTTCGGTATGATCCATTTTCACTTTTACTTTTAGTCAATGTTCCCGTCAACAATTACAGAAAACATCACTTATTCTCTGTTTCTTATTCTTAAGATTTTGTTAAGAAATAATTTTCTCCATGAAATCTTAAAAATAGAAAATAAGAATAAAGAAATGTTTTTATAATTATTAATAGAAATGTGCTCAGGAAAAACCCAGAAAACCTCCTATTCCTCGAGTGTCCAAGCAATCATTTCCACTCAACCCTCTACCCCTGTTATCACATTATCAGTGGATTATGTAAAAAAATTCAACACCTGCAGTTGTCACCATCAAACAGTCTAAAAAGAATATGATGGTCAGTACTAAAAAATCTGCTCTCTAACTTGAGAATTAATTTTAAAAAAATACAGCACAGAATATACCATGTTATTGCCGCTTCCTCCTATAAAAATATACAACACCAATTGTGTCAATTCTATTTGTTTGTTTGTCGAAATAAGACGGCAGCAGCGGCAACAGCAGACAAACTCCAAAAGAAAGAATTATGTTGATGATAACCGTCCACTTAAAGAGTGAAACTCCTCTCTCCTTAAAGACACATCTACAGTAACAGCAGAAAGCAGTAACTACAAACAAAGGGATATATGAAGTTACAAAAAATAATCTGGAGTCTTTCGTGTAGTATCAGGCTCAATTTGTCTGGGAGCTGGATCAAACTGCAGAAAATTCTGATCCATATTCTCTCCAATTTCCAGTATGGCAGCCATGTTCCCACATCGGTAACAATAATTAGGTGCACTAAAAACAGTCACCACATTCTTGTCCTTAAAGAGTCATCCAAATAATAGTCATCAATAAAGAGAAATGTAATGGGTATCCCTAAACTGAAAAGGGAAAACAATACTCGTAATAAATAAAATATTAGATCAGTCGGCACCTGGCACCAATTGTATCCTTCCATGACAAGCTGGTGAGCTCTAGATATTAGGGAGAGACCATTGGTATGATTAAACTGAGTAGCTATGTCCTGTCCAAATGTATATCCTGCACCACGTGGAGATATTCCCCAACCACAGCGATCATCTGGATCAGACCACAATAGGTCACACATTGGTCCTTCGTGTGGAACCTACATTGCAGTTACAGTTGTCATTTGTCAGACAAGAAATCTAATTAATTTTCTTGGTGCAATTAGACAAGACAGATACAGAAATGAGATTCCAAAACGGAACAAAAGACAAGACATCCTTAGATTGAGACATTTCCAATGAAAAACAAGAGCTACAAACTACGTTGTTTAATTTCAAAATTAAACAATTTAAAGTACTTCTCAAACCATATTTCAGAAAGATTTTTAACATGTTTTGCATAAAATGATCTCCACACAAATCAATCCAGAATGCAATAGTTTGTAATATCAATTTAAAAAACAAACCTCCTGTATGCGATCCAACGCCCGAATATTATCCAGTGTATCCAAAGATGGTGAGAGACCACCATGCAAGCAGAAAATCTGTAATATACATGGATGTTAGAAACCCTCATAAGGTTCTCAAAGAAACATTCTGCAACATATTTAACTCAAACCTGACTCTCAATAAGGGCAGTCAAAGGCAAATAATCAAACAAGTCGGTAAAGAATTTCCAGACATTAGCATTTCCATATTTTCTCAAACATTCATCGTAGAACCCATACCTGAAAACATTTGAAAGATATAGACAACGAGGTTAGTAAATAAACTATTTTTAGAGTAAAATTGCTAGTATTTCTTGTGCACAGAAACTTTTTCCACTATCAAATCCCTTCACAAACCACTCATAAATATGAATTTACACGCATAANAAAAGAATATGATGGTCAGTACTAAAAAATCTGCTCTCTAACTTGAGAATTAATTTTAAAAAAATACAGCACAGAATATACCATGTTATTGCCGCTTCCTCCTATAAAAATATACAACACCAATTGTGTCAATTCTATTTGTTTGTTTGTCGAAATAAGACGGCAGCAGCGGCAACAGCAGACAAACTCCAAAAGAAAGAATTATGTTGATGATAACCGTCCACTTAAAGAGTGAAACTCCTCTCTCCTTAAAGACACATCTACAGTAACAGCAGAAAGCAGTAACTACAAACAAAGGGATATATGAAGTTACAAAAAATAATCTGGAGTCTTTCGTGTAGTATCAGGCTCAATTTGTCTGGGAGCTGGATCAAACTGCAGAAAATTCTGATCCATATTCTCTCCAATTTCCAGTATGGCAGCCATGTTCCCACATCGGTAACAATAATTAGGTGCACTAAAAACAGTCACCACATTCTTGTCCTTAAAGAGTCATCCAAATAATAGTCATCAATAAAGAGAAATGTAATGGGTATCCCTAAACTGAAAAGGGAAAACAATACTCGTAATAAATAAAATATTAGATCAGTCGGCACCTGGCACCAATTGTATCCTTCCATGACAAGCTGGTGAGCTCTAGATATTAGGGAGAGACCATTGGTATGATTAAACTGAGTAGCTATGTCCTGTCCAAATGTATATCCTGCACCACGTGGAGATATTCCCCAACCACAGCGATCATCTGGATCAGACCACAATAGGTCACACATTGGTCCTTCGTGTGGAACCTACATTGCAGTTACAGTTGTCATTTGTCAGACAAGAAATCTAATTAATTTTCTTGGTGCAATTAGACAAGACAGATACAGAAATGAGATTCCAAAACGGAACAAAAGACAAGACATCCTTAGATTGAGACATTTCCAATGAAAAACAAGAGCTACAAACTACGTTGTTTAATTTCAAAATTAAACAATTTAAAGTACTTCTCAAACCATATTTCAGAAAGATTTTTAACATGTTTTGCATAAAATGATCTCCACACAAATCAATCCAGAATGCAATAGTTTGTAATATCAATTTAAAAAACAAACCTCCTGTATGCGATCCAACGCCCGAATATTATCCAGTGTATCCAAAGATGGTGAGAGACCACCATGCAAGCAGAAAATCTGTAATATACATGGATGTTAGAAACCCTCATAAGGTTCTCAAAGAAACATTCTGCAACATATTTAACTCAAACCTGACTCTCAATAAGGGCAGTCAAAGGCAAATAATCAAACAAGTCGGTAAAGAATTTCCAGACATTAGCATTTCCATATTTTCTCAAACATTCATCGTAGAACCCATACCTGAAAACATTTGAAAGATGTAGACAACGAGGTTAGTAAATAAACTATTTTTAGAGTAAAATTGCTAGTATTTCTTGTGCACAGAAACTTTTTCCACTATCAAATCCCTTCACAAACCACTCATAAATATGAATTTACACGCATAAAGACGGTGTAATTCACCTCTACTCATTCCTTCAGATGCAAGTTACAAACTAGCTGTAACATTTCATTTAAACAATCAACTGTATCCATTTACAAGATCCACTTCAATCTGAGTATAATTTTATCATCCCGTCACCATATGCTTCACAGCTGTTTCTATACGGCAAAAATGACTATAATACTAGCATATGCAATCATAATGATAGACTACAGAGATTCAGCAGCAACAAAATACATCTATTTGCATTCTGAATCATTTGTATTTTATAATGTCCTAATACCAAGAAAAAAATGCCATAATATTATCACAAAAATCAGGCTGCTTTTCCTAAGATAACCATCACTGAATATTGAGGTACGTGAAGCCCATGAGCAATTTCACATAAAATCAATGAATACAAGAGTAAGGACTGCACATCCTTAACTTATTCTCAAACAGTGAGCAGGATATACACTAGATTGTTGCTTAAACATGACACATATCATACAGAAATTACAATAAGCTTTATGGCAAACACATGATGTGAAGAAAATGTTCTTACACTTGAGTGATTTGACGACTCTCATGATTTCCCCTAAGGATTGTAATTCTATCTCTATAACGGACTTTCAAGGCCACCAAAAGTGTAACAGTCTCCACTGAATAGTAGCCACGATCTGCATAAATTATGCCAGTATCATCATCATGAAAAGTGCCCACATATACAAAGTCTAATCCGAACATCATTAAAAGCAGCATGAGAAAAAAATAAAAGATGATAATTGCCATAGTTGGCAGCTTTTTATATCTGCAACTGTAGCATCCTCAAATATTGAAGTGTCAAGCATCATATCCTTCCCTATTATAACAACAATCGCTGTTGATACCTTGATACAAACAAATCAATCACTTCTGATAGTTTTTATGTTCCCAGCAAATGTTGTTTAAAGGACGGGCTAATTAAAGACAGTATGGACCTTCAATTCTTGTTGACTCACTCCAATAAAATCCTTTCATAGTCATACAAAATTCAATTTTAATTGTCCATCAACAGTTATAAAAACAACTTGCCCGTTATTCAACACTAATCTGACATTAAGTATCAAGAATTTATTCAATATTTAGTGCTTACACGAACATCTCAACACTGCATTCAGTTGCACCAACCTACTCCACACTGTAACAAACACCAAACGCCATAACAACAATAACTACACTTCTAATTACAAACCAAGAACAATCACTCCATCAGAAAAACAGGAAGGGGCCAGGATAACAACAAGCTTCATCTAACAATTCTACTTTCAAAAAATCCTAATTTAGCGCATAACCAAAATAAGAAGCTTAAAACTCAATATTTATACAGATTCAACAGCGGAATCAATGTTACACACACCA